TTATACATTGTCTATCTCTTATCTCCTTAATTTGTTCTTTCAACAAGCATTTATTACTGTGTGCCTGCTATGATGACTATAACATCTTGAGAAAAAAGAAATGCACTTCTAAGTGGGGACATCAATACATGGATTCTGCTCACTGCTAGAATGAATAAACTTCTTAATAGCTAAGTGTTCATAGACAGGTTGAAGATCCAACAAAAATAAAGAAAGAAAATATGCCGTTTCTAGGGAGGGAGATAAAGGAATTATAAAGATTTAGGATGAAGTGAAAGGGCTAAGTACTGAATTTGACTATAGAGAAAAACGAGACAGATATACCTGTTCGGAAACATTTTAAATGTAGAATTTAAAATGTAGCTTCTTTTTCTTCCAGAGAACTGCACATCGGTGCCAAGGGCTTTCATTTGCCCACCACTTCTATTTGGAATAAATAGAGCTTTGGCTTTAGAGTTATCTTAGGCCCCAGATGCAGTAAAGTGAAGCTGTTTCAGGAAATGCTGACTTTGTGCCTTGAGATATCGTGTAGCTCTTAAAATGAGCAGATTCGGGTTGGTTGGGTAGGGCAGAAATTCCTAACAGTTTGGTGTGGAATGGCCACAAGCCTATTTTTGTTGCCTCCTCACTCTAAACAATTATTGTCTTCAACCTAGGGAAATACTTAAAGCTTATTCATCTTGTGTTAGAAATTATTGTTGTTGTTAGTTTCCGTGGAGGTGATTCTGACTCATGATGACTGTGTGTACAGAGCAGAACTGCTACATAGGATTTTCAACACTGTGACCTTTTGGAAGCAGATTGCCAGGCTTATCTTCCAAGGTACCTCTGGTGGGTATGAACTGCCAAATTTTAGGAATAGTCTAGCACTTAATTGTGCCACCCAGTGACTCCTGTGTTAGAAATTAGCAGTGTTATTTTCAATATTCAAGGAACTAAGTATATATGTTCATACTCAATTTGTATTAATATCCTCACATCACAAGGGGTGTTTTTGAAGAAAAATTTGTTTTGAATGTACCTTTTGTCTATGTTCTTACAGCTGCAGTTCTTTTTTTTTTTTAATTCTACAGATGCTAACAGCTCAGATGGAAAGCTTACTTTGAACTGAAAAATTGTCCCCCAAATGACATAAAATAGTTCTTGCTACGTTGCCACCATTGAATTTTTATTATTAATTTTATTTATTGTTAGAGAAATTGTGACCATTGGCAAGTCACTACACCATTCTGGGCTTGGGTCTGCTGGGGGTTGACCTTTTAAGACCTTTATGGATTTGGGATTTTGAGCCAGTGTTCTTCAGTTGGTTATACGTGCGTTATCACCGCTCGCCCCAGAAACCATTACCCATTAGAGGGCTGAAACTTTGTTAATGTGTTGTCTAGCTGGCCAGGGACAGGCCACATCCAAACTAAAAGGAAGGAACCTTGTCAAATGGCCAGGCCTCCGCTCACACTAGCTGGCCCTTTCTCTTTTCCCTGTCAGGCTCTTTGTTGCCTGGAGTAGTTGCAGGTTGTCTAGTGGACCATTTAAAATGACGAAGAATGTGGAACGAATGGCAAAAGCGTATTTTAACTTGAAATTGAACTAAAGTAAACAGAATGATTTAATATTTAAAAATCTCTATTGCAATTGTTGATTTTCAGTCTCATGTAAACTCTAATGAAACTGTGAGGGATCCCAATTTCTCAATGTGCGTTTCTAAAAAGTTCAATTGTAAATTGGTTCTTTGGAGCATTTTCCCATAGGAACACTATTGAGGGTTGTTGTGACTAGGGTCGCTATGAGTCGGAATTGACTCAACGGCAGTGGGTTTGGTTTTTTGGTTTTGATGTGGTGTCAGCCAATAATACTGTTTTTGTGGTGTCCTTTAATACTGTTCCTATATTAAGCTCATAATGTTGCGAAAATACCATCTTTCTGATGAAAAGTACTAGCTGATAATAACTGTAAAGTTATTTTTCAAGGAGAGAAACGTGTATTTACATACTTTTTCTGTTAATCTGAATCCTGAATGACTTAAAGTGAAAATTTTCTGACATGGTACAATACTGGAACCCTGGTGGCACAGTGGTTAAGAGCTACGGCTGCTAAGCAAAAGGTCAGCAGTTCGAAATCATCAGCAGCTCCTAGGAAACCCTATGGGGCAGTTCTACTCTGTCCCCTTATAGGGTCGCTATGAGTTGGAATCGACTCGACTGTAACAGGTTGGTACAACACTGTGTATTAAACACAATTTGGAAAAAAAAGAATCAGTAGCAGTATTTACAAAAATTAAAAATTAGGTATTTGAGCAGCTTTACTGGGGGCAGATAGGCAGAGAAGTCAGCAGAAATTCTCAAAGTCACTAGCCCCCTCCTGACCTTTTCACCTCTGTCTGCCTTTGTAGATACACATGTGTTTAAAAGAGCAAAACACAAAAGCATTCCATTAAGCCTACTTTTCCGCTAGAGTATTTCACCTTCTTTTTATTGAGATTCTTGAAAACTTTGATGCCTTGCATACCCCCTCACTCAGCTCCTTCTGGGAGTTACTACCTGTAATATACAAGTGACACTACTCTTTGAGGGATACTCCTAACCTCATCAAGAATTCATATAAGGTTTTTTGGGTTTTGTTTTTTATCTTCCACGCTTGGTGGAACTTCTACTTTGAAGCCCTTCATTTTTGTGATGCTACGTTATTCTGATTTTTCATCCAGCCCTCCCACCTGACTTCTCCTTGTATAATACAGTTGTTCATTTTCTGTCCTCCTTTCCATAATGTAACCTCCGTGAGATCAGAGACTGTCTTGTACTGCTGTATCCCCTGTATTTAGTACCATGTCTAATACTGCATCAGTATTAACAAAATATTTAAATAAGTGAATATTTTTTGTTTCTATCACCAGATGAGATAGCTCTCTTGAGTTCTGTTGTTGGTTCTGTTCTATTATTTCTCATTTGCTGTTTTCATTGATATCCACACCTTCTGCTATTATCTGTGCCATGCATCTATTCCATCCTTTTTATTTTGAGTAGGATTACTGCATTTCAGCCCCTTTTTTGTGTTCCAAGTTTAGTTATTATGAAAAAGTAGTCACAATTTATTTCTGAATAGAAAAGTGAACTACCAGTGGCAGAGTTAAATAGCAACAGCAGGGTCACAGTTGAGTCAGAATCGACTAGGCAGCAACAGGTTTGGTTTTTTTGGTTCTTACTACGAATTGAGGTTCTGGTTATAGCTTACGTAGACATACCAGGTCTCTTAAGTTTTCCCTGCCTTCAGGTTATATTTTATCCTTCATTCTGTGACCAAAGCAATCTACCTATATCAATGGTCTGATCAGGTAATGATTTTCTCTTGCCCTATAGAATAAAATTTAGGAATTACTCATTTTTCTTCTTTTCTTTTTTTGGCTCCGTGATGTCAAGGAGCAGATTTCAGCTCAGAAACAGGAAATACTTTCCATGTTTAGAGCTGTCAGAAACTGTTTCAGTGCGTATTGAGTTCCCCTTCACTGGTTGGGGGTGATAGGGTAGGATAGTAAGTAGTTTTCTAATAGGGCAGAATATTGGAGTTTTTTGAAGCTACAAGCCCTGTCGGCAAGTGTCTCCTCCAGGCCTTTGGTTTTATCTTTCAGACTACTTAGGTCAACATTCAGGTCACTTATAATCTGGCCTAATGAATCATTTATTTTCTAGGACCAAGTTTTATTCATCCCCACTGTATCTTGCATGTAGTTGGTGCTAAACATGTATTTGTCCAGTAAATGAATAACTTCTGTCACTCTCTTGGGTGGATGGAGTGGGGTTCTTTGTTCCCACTTCATATCTGGTTTTGCGATACATATCAGATCTAGATTCAGAGTACCTGGGATCAAGTCTTGCACCACAGGGTAGGTGATCTGGGGTATTTACCTTCTCTGATCCTACTTTTTCATCTGTAAAATTGGAATGACAGTTATTGTAAAATAAGTCATTGTGAGGACTAAATGCATGTGAAAAACATTTTAAAATCTGAAAATATTTTAAAATGGAAGAAATTATTCAAAGGCGATGGCTTTTGTTTAATATAAGGTGTTTCACTGCTGTTACTCTTGCACGTACTGATTATAGGGTCAGTTTTTAGCTTAGCAAAAGAAACAGATGCAGTTGCTTTCTCTTAAAAAGCAACTTATTTCCTCAACCCCTCGAGGCCAAATTTCTCTCTCTTACATTGTTGAATTCTTGATATTTTAATCCCAAACTACCAGTATCTCTCTGTTTCTCCCTTTTCTCAGTTTTTGTGTCAGATTTGGACAGACTTCTCCTGAATAACAAAAAGCACCACTGGTAAAATTAAACAACAGATGTATTTTCTCAACTAGATGGATTTGGTAGAATTTTCCCAATTTTAAGTCCCCACCCCCCAATTGTCTTAAATCTTTGGCTCTTGCCATGTTTTTGTTATTTTCAGGTGGCAAAATAATGAACAAGCAGCAAAAAGATTTTAATGAAAATCTTAAAAACACTTTAATTCTTTGTTTTTTCATCTTAATTCTCTAACTTGGATCTGTATACATGCTTACACAGTACTACATTTCATGGTTATAATTTTATATTACATGTAAGTGCTGTAATTAAACATCTTATTGATACTTTTTCCTGGATTGTTTATGATAGAATTAGATACATTATTCCACGGTGTTTCATAGAGAGTCTCTGGGATTTCAAAGTGAGTGAGTTTGTGAATCACTGTTTTGCAGAGTATTACTTGATGAGGGAGATTAGCTATAGGAAAGGGCAGTCATCAAGTCTGGGGAGGAAAAGAGAGATGCCTCACTGGCCAGGGTTGCTGTTACAAGAAACTATATTAATAATTCAACTTGTCATAAGTTAGAGACTCCTATAATTTGGGAAGGAAAATTTTTGGCGTTTGTTGTTTCCACTTAATATAGTAATATAGTAAATATCCGTTCCTTCTTCACCTTTCACCAGGTCAGTATATATTCTGTGCCCTGTTCTTTTATCACAAAAAAGGGAAGAAATACTGCAGTGAATGAAGATTCCTCTGCATTTTAGCACTGCGTTTTCTCCTGTAGTTGGCTTTTGAATGAGGATGACAATGGAAGAGATGAAGAATGAAGCTGAGACCACTTCCATGGTTTCTATGCCTCTCTATGCAGTCATGTATCCTGTGTTTAATGAGGTAAGTGGGTAAACAATTCCTCATAGTTCTCTGCAATTCCTTAGTGGCTGTTGTATTTATTCATTCATGTAACAAATATGTATATAAACGAACTTACATTTATGTGGTAGGCACTGTGCCAGGACTGAGCATAAGACAGTGAAAAAACCAGATCTGTTGCTCCCCTTCAGAGGTTACACTATAATGATAGAGACATTGACCCAAAGCATACAAGAACACAAGTAATTATATAACTGACAAATTGTGAGAAGTGCTATGAAGTAAAATAAAAAAATAGGTGTTAAAGAAAGAAAATAGCAGATGGGAGCTATTTTAGGGGTCAGGATGGACCTTACTGAAGAAGAAACATATATACTAAGATCTGAAAGAGAAAATCAAGAGTTAGAAAGATAAAGAGCTTAGGGATAAATGCATTCGGGTAGCCAGAATAGCAGGAACAAAGATCTTAATAAATTATTGTCACTGGTGATAAAACATTTTTTTATGGTATTTGGAAGATACAATTGTTTTGTATCTGGAGAAGACATGGTTGCTTTTCTATTTAAGAACTTTCTAGTATTTAATATCACTACTTTTTGGACTTTCTTTTAAATTAATATTAGTATATTGTATAAAGAATACTAGCACTGGAAGTCCTTTAGAGATAATTTAATCTACCCCATCCTCCTTTTAATGGTGAACTGAGGCTCTGGGATGTGAAATGATTTTCCTAAAATTACCTAGGACTAGAACCAAATCTAGGTATCCTGACTTCAAACTCAGTAGCTTCAGGTTTTTTTCTATTTAACTGATTAGTTTTTTTCTATTTTATTAATCTAATTAATTTAATTAAAGTCATCAGTACTGTTAATCTCATTGTTGCTGCAATAGCCTGTAAGCCCTCACCATTTCCATTGAAAAAAGCCTCTAACAATTTAAGTGTTATTCTTTGTACATGTCAGAAGTAGATTGTATCTGAATCTTGACTTTGCAAAACAGTTATGTAAGATGTGGTATTCTGGTAAAATAAACTGGTGGGATGAGTATTGATACACCTTTTCTAATTAATCGTGCGTAAGGAATATTAACTTGAAAGATAAAGAAGTGGCTGTGAATGGACTAGTAAAGCTTTTCTATGAGTAAAGGCAGTGAGTCTCTCCAGATGAGATCTGAAAACACGTAGGTTAATGGGCCCAGAATAGAGTGCATTGCCAAATAAATGATTCATAGTTGGTCCAAGAACTAATTGTTAGAAGTGAAGTTTGAAAATTAAGTGCCTGAATGTGGCAGACTGAGAGATGCTACAACACATTGGCAGGTTCATATTCTCAAATTGGATTTACTCATCTAACATCATAGTATCAAGCCTTCTTTTGAATTATTTCTGTGGTGTATGTAAAAATGAGTGTCCTGAAGTACAGGCTTTTAGAAATAGTGATGGTAGTTAGGTTTCCTCTTTGTTAGAGATGAACTCTAAGGCTTGATTTAGGAACAGTAAAATTTTTATTGTGTCTTCAGTTGTGAAGTGTTTGGTTAAAGGAATAAAATACTAGCATTGTTCTCTGGCTTTCCAGTATAGTAACATAACATCTTAAATAAGATACCTAATCAGTTAAACATTAATATTTAACTGTAGTTCACACATGGATTTTTCTGTAAATCTACTAGTAGGGGAAATTAGAATATAGTTTGGCTCTGTTTTTCTGTGCTGTGCAGATTTAAAGATAAGAATGGTTGTCAAATTGATCTAACAGAAAGTAGCACTATAGTAGGGATGACGTTTTTACTCTTTGAAGCCTAATTATTCATTGAATCTCATTCACAGTGTATTTTAAGAGCTAAAAAGCTTAGAGTCTCACTTTAACATTAGATTCATAGTAGTAGCAGTGGTAGCTAGAAGTCATATTTTAAACAGATTTTTAGCTAGTAGGACATCCTTATATTTGGGGAGATTTTAGTACTGTTACTCAAGCTCACAAGGCAGAATTATTTATGGCATTCTGGGACGTTGATGCTGATTTAATAAAGTATACCCAGACGGCCGAGAAGGAGTAGTCTTCTTGTTTAATCAGCTGCTGCAGAGTTCAGAGTCCAAGTAGATTGCATGGGTTATAAATGTCCTGTGAAATAGGTCTCCTGGTTGTATTATGGAATACTGGGTTTATAGAAACCTCATGCCAAATCTTAGATCTGATTTTCATGTGACTGTATTATTTTGTACCAATTCTTTGTATATGGAGGAAGAGAGATATACGGTTGAATTCTTCATACTGGGAGAGCGGGGGACAAACTGTGTCTTCTTTTCCTGTGTCCTTTTAGAGGAATTATTTTAAGATGAAATATATTTTTTAAAGGACTTATGTGTTGTTCTATTTTAAAACAGAAGTGAAAAACAATTTTGTAACCAAATATAAATTTTATATGACCAAGGGTTTATATGTTTGTTTTAAACAGATCACATAAAAACATTTCTTCTAAATCAATAATTGGCATCATTTCATTCAGAAGCATCTGAAGCAGCTGTTTTTGCCAATTCTTGGTAGAATAGCCAACCCTTAATTTTTTTTTTTTTTTAATATTTTATTGTACTT